ACTGCAGTGCCTTAAATACTATATGCATGTACATGAACCTGAAGAAGCCAAAGTTGTGCTACTTTTCATTATTTGTTTCAAATTCAAACTTGTGGTGCGAACAGAAATTGGGTTCCCACTTGAGTCAATGAAAGATGGGTCATAAGGTGATATTTGATTTATGTTTAAGTAAACTGGAAACTCCTTCGAACGGCTTGCGTTCAATTATTAGTTAATGCTCTTGTTTAGCAAGTGTAAGATTTAAGACTTTTAGCCCCTTCTCATCGAGATTAATGCAAAAGAGAATCAAGTTCAATGAGTTTGTTAGGCCTGTACATATGTGTGGAAGAGAAACAAATGCAACGGATCTCTCTTTATGACTGTCTGTTTAATAAGGCTGTTGTTTTTTTTTGTAAATATCTGAATAAGGATGCTGAGGAATGAAGATTGATTTGTAAAATGATGATAGCAAACTCTTGTTGGATGTTTTGGCCCAAAAAAAGCTCAAACGGCGCTTGAATGCATCTTACTTGATATATAACCATGTAAACTTTGCCATATGACTTTGTAACCGTATAAGTTTTAGTAACCTTAGGATTACTCCATGTATCTAATGGCATAATCATGAGTAACCATTGAATCTTGTTTGCTCCATTTGTTGCCTGTCATGAAGGGTTCGTTTCCATTATGGTCATTCTGATGTCTTCGATCGGCTGTTTCACCTTACCAGAGGTGGTGTCAGTAAGGCTTCAAAGGTTATCAATTTGAGTGAAGACGTATTTGCTGGTATGTGGGTCTTCGGAATTGCCTATTATAACTAATTGGCTTTAGCTTTACATGTATATTTGTAATTAAATTTTCTCTCTTGTAGGCTTCAATTCTACACTTCGTGAAGGCAATGTAACTCATCATGAGTATATACAAGTAGGAAAAGGGAGGGATGCGAGTTTAAACCAGATATCCATGTTTGAGGCTAAATTAGCCAATGGATATGGGGAGCAGACTTTGAGTAGAGATGTATATCGACTTGGACATCGTTTTGATTTCTTCAGAATGTTATCATGTTATTTCACCACCATCGGCTTCTACATCAGTGCTTTGGTAAGTCGGCCTTTTCCTCCTAGTGTTGTATTTTTCTCGTTATACATATCTCAATTCTGAATTGTCTTATTATTTTTTTGTGGCAGATTACTGTGTTTACAGTATATGTCTTCCTTTATGGCCGTCTTTATTTAGTTCTTAGCGGGCTTGAAAAGGAATTGAGTACTCAGCTAGGAATTAAGGACAATAAGCCTTTCCAGGTGGATTTTGCCTCCCAATCATTTGTACAAATGGGATTTTCATTGGTACTGCCTATATTGATGGAAATATGGGTGGAAAGGGGAGTTCTAACTGTACTTAGTGATTTTCTGCTGATGCAATTGCAACTTGCCCCCGTTTTTTTTACTTTCTCTCTTGGAACAAAGACACTATTATGGAAGAACTTTAATCCATGGTGGTGCAAAATACAAGGCTACTGGTCACGGTTTGGTAGTGTTCCATGCCAAGTTTGCAGACAACTATAGAATGTACTCCCGCAGTCACTTCGTTAAAGGATTTGAATTGATGATTTTGTTGCTCATGTACCAAATCTTTGGTCAATCTTATAGGGGTTCCGTTGTTAATACCGTGAGCACAATATACATCTGGTTCATGGTTGGGAGTTGGCTTTTTGCCCCTTTCTTGTTTAATCCTTCTGGTTTCGAGTGGCGTAAGATTGTCGATGATTGGACAGATTGGAATAATTGGTTATGCAATGATAGAGATGAACATTCAGAAAGAAGTTGGGAAGCTTGGTGGGAAGAGGAACAGGAGCACCTGCGTCATTCTGGAAAGTGCGGTATCATAGCTGAGATTATATTGGCACTGCGATTTTTCATATATTATCATGGTCTTGTGTATTACTTGAACATCACGAAGCATACCAATATTGTCCAGGTATATAATTCCTTCAATTCTATTTCTTCCTATATCAAAATCCACACTATTATAGTGGCGACATCAAGGTGTTCATCTTTCTCTTTGGCACGATTGCAGGTTTATGGCATATCAGGGCTCGTGTTCTTCTTTATATTGTTTGGGATGAAGGTGAGGATACATGATCCGTCTAGTTCCAAAATTTATCAATGAGCTTTCCTATAATGAACCCAAAAGCTTGAGCTATTGGCCCTAATCAAAGAGAGCATCCAATACCCTACTTCTATCTTGAAGTCCACATTATTATTATTATTGGCCATACTTATCTTGTTTTAGTTGACTAGCGAGAAGCTTCGAAATATGTTGGCCAGACATGAGCACCATCAAAACCAATTTCATGCTTCTTTTCTGAACTCAGCTTTTTTTTTACATGGTTTTTGTTGGTTGGCCAATTTTAATTGTCCTCCTAGATGCTTTTCTTCTTAGGACACCAGATGCTGAGTGAACACATGGCTGTTGTATAACGTTCTTCGTTGTATTTTGCAGATCATTTCTTATGAACAAAGAAAAGTCGGGGCTGATATTGTCATCCATCTAATCAAGGGATTTATGTTCTTGACTTTTGTAGCCATTTTAGTTACATTAATTGCACCCACCGACGTGACACTGCAATACGTAATGGCTTGCGTTCTTGCTTCCATGCTGATGGGTTGGGGAATGCTTTTGGTTAGTGACGCTACTCTCTTGCCCTTATTCTTTTGGACTATATATACAATTCACAAATTTTTGTCTTTTTATAGTTTGGTTATTATGGAGGGTAAAGCACGAATGCTTGTCATTATTACATAGATGTGGTGATTCTGCTGGTTGGTCTCACTTTTTAATTTTGAAACTGCTTGTGGGTATTGCATTTGCATTTCGCTTCATGTTAAGCTTCTTTTATTATTCCGAATTTACATTTGAGTGATGACTTTGCGTGCTTAGCTTTACCCAGATTGCACAAGCTTGCAGACCTCTTGTCGACGAGCTTGGAATTTGGGGAACAGTTAAGACTCTTGCCCATGGTTACGAGATCGTTATGGGTTTCTTTCTGTTCACTCCAGTTGCATTCCTGGCTTGGTTTCCATTTTTCTCAGAATTCCAGAGCCGTATGCTCTTCACCCAAGCATTTGGCAGAGGCTTGCAGATTTCGCGTATTCTTGGTGGACAAAGGAAAGATGAGGAGCAGTCCTCTAACATGAACGAGTGACGAAAGAGAAACATACCATGGCTAAACAAAAGTTTTGAGGGGTTATTCTTTTAGAGAGCTCGATTGCTCAAAAACAATACACAACATTTCATACTTGATCATACATCGTCATCTGGATGTGCACCTACGGTGTGCTATTTACGCACTTCCAACATGTGCGGACAAGCGTAAGTTTCGTGTTTGAATTTTCCCACAGCATAACCCTAAAAGCCGGGACATATACGTGATTTAATTTGTATTCCAATGTATGTATCGTAACATTGTGTCTGTGCTACGACTAATGTATTGCCTCTTTTCCCCTACAATATAAATTCAGGGAAAATCCGCACGGTGCATTGCATCTTCAATTCGATGGCATGTTCTTGTTATTTTTGTTAATTTCCTAAGTTTTGTCTTTCCATTCTCGATAATATAACGAGGGCACGTACCATTTTCAGGTACTGTTTCGTCTTTTATTATGTTCATAATAATTTAAGCTAGCTCATGGGGCCATTATTTGATATATACGGTACCCGAAAAAATCTTTGCGATGTACATTTTTCCATCTCGAGCGGAATATATATAGGGATTACAGAATCACGACCCAGGTTCTACGGCTGTTTGCCCGTTTCTGTCTAATATGTACTGGCTAAGCTTAAGCATAAGAAGTTTGATTCATATATGTATGACTCATCGATTCAACATTTTGTATGTAGATACGTGTATCAATATATGAGCAAAAAAGGTCAACGAGGGCCTCGGATACAGTGGTCTGAGTTTGTGCAACTGTTTGGAGCGTTGACCTAACTCTTTCATAGTTATATCTGCTATGCCATAGATAGATTGCTCTTTACTAACCTTCACGAACGAAGTCGTAGATAGAATCGAGCGTGATACAAGGGACATGTCTTTTATAGTATCTAGTGTAGATCTATATATTTTTTAATGTATGTATGTGTGTGTGTGTTTTTTCAATGGGATAGAATGAGTTTAGACAACAATTTATGTACTTTTTTTCTTTGGGACCCTAGGTGTGAACAACCCTTGTTTTATAGCACAAAACATACTTAGAGAAATACTAGCTTAGAAATTTTATTAGAACTCCTTTTTAATTTGATATGTTGGAACAAGTGAGACATAAAAATAGAATGATCAGCTTACCTAAGAATTCAAGATGAAATTGTTGCGTCACTTGGAAAAATAATTTCAGAGAGAAACCTAAATGTACATTTACCTTTGGCTCGCTACGTCGTTATCCTAATATAATATTTGATGGTTGGGAAAGAGTGAAGGAACACGAAACATAGATTTTTTACTCCAGACTAGGGGTGAGCACGGTTCCAGGGTAGAACCGGGAACCGAAAAACCGAACCGATGGGTAAGGTTCGGTTCCGGTTCTAGGGTGAGCGGTTCGGTTCTCGGTTCCAATTTTTAGGAACCGCGGTTCGGTTCCGGTTCCGGTTCTCGGTTACAGGCGGGGCAGGAAGGAACCAGAACCGAACCGGCCGAACCGACGCTCTTCCCAGTAAAAAATAAAAACCCTAACTTTTCTTCACAAATTTCTCTCTCGGTTGCTCCTCCGTTGCACCCTCTCTCCCACTCCCCACACCCACGACTCGACGAGACCCTCTCGCCTCTCCTCGCTCCGTTCGGCGTCCGCCTCGGCTCTTCCTCTGTCTTCATCAACCACGGTCCGGCTCATCCACGGCGGATTTCCGAGTCTAGGTTCTTTTGGTGACCAATCGAGCGGCTTGTGGCTGGAGGCGCAAGAAGGGAGCGAGCAAGGAAAGAGTAAGCGTCAGTTGACGCCCGCGCTCCCTCTGCCCACTCCTCCCCTCGCCAAGGCATGGGCTCGAACCCCTCGACTTCGATCATCGATGCGACCTCGAAATTTGACGTCTTTTCTTTGGGTGGTGTGGTTTCAGTTTCAGATCGGGCTATGCCAACTTTCGGTGACGGCGGATAAAGAGAGGAACATTGCCCATGCTCGCGACGAGATTCGGGAAATTTTTTTTTCTTTCCGAAAATGGGCATCAAGGTAGTTCCACCTCCCTCTTCTTCATTGTTGATTGAGTCGTCCGTTGATTTCGATAGGGGCTGACGAAGCTACTGGCGGACAATGCCCCTAAGGCGATGAGGGAGCAAAAGCTGGAGAGCTACTTCGGCCGGAGGATCGCCGTCGATGCCAGCCTGAGCATCTATCAGTTCCTCGTTAAGTGCTTTGCTTTTTATGAGTTGATGTTCCTGATTGATTGTGTGTTTCGGTGTTGGCGGGGATTTGGATTTTGAGTGTTGGGGGTTTTTTTTGGTCTTTGATTGGGGGATCAGGTTGTGGTTGGGAGGAAGAGGACTCAGATGCTCACCAATGAGGCTGGTCAAGTCACCAGGTACCACTAATGGCATCGGAATACTCCATGGAAATGATAATCCACTTTGCTCGAGTTTCTGTTTTGATGCTTCAGTTGTTATTGCTTGGACTGGGGTTTATGTATATGAGATCGACGTGTCACATTATTTTGTACTTGCCATGTGATATTTGTTCTTGGGAAGTGTTGACTTTGAGCTGCTTTTTGATTTGTCGTCTCATGTAGTCATCTGCAAGGCATGCATTACCGAACGATTAGGCTGTTGGAAGCAGGGATACAGCCAGTGTAAGCTTTTTTCTTTACCTCCTATGTTTTCATTGGGATAGAATGCTAAGAAGAATGAAGTTTGTGCTTCTCTGAATTATACTTTATGTTATTATGATAGCTACGTATTTGATGGTAAACCTCCTGATTTGAAGAAGCAAGAGCTCGCACAATGGTACTTTATTATTATGTAGCCTTCTCTTCTCTCGTTTTTTTTTTAATTGTCTATGAATACGTTTAGTTACCTTAAATGTGAAGGTTTGTCTTTGTTTTGATCACTTCCTTACTGTGCGATATTTTAGTTCTATTCGATGAGAAGTTTGATGTTGTCTCTGTTTTCCAGAAAAACCTATCTATGTAGCTAACCAGATATGTGTGCGCATGTGGTACATGGCTTTGATACCATTGCAGGTGACACAACAGCACAATGAAGACTGCAAAAAACTATTGAGACTTATGGGTATCCCAGTAGTTGAGGTTACTATTCTGTCTGAGAAGTTCATTCTTCTTTATTCGTAACAAAAATGTTAGATACCAGATTCAGTTTATGTATGTCAGGCCCCTTCAGAAGCAGAGGCACAATGTGCTGCTCTTTGAAAAGCTGGAAAGGCATTATCTTCCTGGTTGATCATCTTCTGATTTAGAATAATTCATTGTTATCTCATGATAATCCAATCATCTAACTCTATGGAAATGACATTTTTTTTTTGCATGATTTCGTGTAGCTGCGGAAAGTTTGGATGTGCCTCCTGATTGCAAAATGGGAAATTTATGGCTTACAAGAACTTTGTATACCTTATCAAATGCCCTTTTGTGAAGGCGTGCACTAGAAGAAAGAATGGATAAAAGCATCTTGAGTAGGCACGTGTTCGTTTCATCAGTTTTGGGTGACTTTCTGTGGCTAAGTTCTTATTGATGCTTATGTAATTGCTATGTTTTTATACTGCAAGCTTTGGCTTCCAGTAAAATCAGCCATATTTGCAGCCTGCGCCGTTCTATAAAAGGAGGGAAAAATCACGTAGCTTGCCTCATGGTTTTGTTGACTCTGTGCCAGGAAATATGGAACAGTCCCTATTCAAATGATAGCTTCCCTATTTATGCTGAGGACATTGATGGAGGTTCATCTCCTTCAACTGCTATGTTATTTGAAGCTGCTAAGGCCTTGAAGGTTACCATAGTGGGCAGTTCAATCCCAGAAAGATGTGGTGATCGATTGTACAACGCTTGCTGTGTTTTTGGTTCCATTGGAGTGCTGAAAGCCAAGCACCACAAGGTAACTTTTCTTTCCTTAAGTAACTATGTATGGAACATTTAGTTGCCTGAGTCTTCTAGTCTATTTGTTGTTTGAGTTGTTTTCTTTTCTTTTCTTTTCTTTTTGGCTCTATGCGGACGTTGGACGTATTGGTATAGGCATACATTTATGATATTCGGTTTCGGGGAATTGGCAATGATTTATGCTGCAAGAGGTAGGTTTTGTTTCCTCTTCGTCTATTTTGCATTTCCTACAATGTTATCGCATCTTGGTCTTTGGGGCTGCCACCGCCCAGTCTATGCGATTCGAAAGTAAGAAGATTTCTGACAGTAAACATGTATGTCTTAAGTGGTGGACCTTTGGATTGTTTTCCTTTGATTTATTTTCGTTTTATCCCTTCCAATGATTTTTAAGTTGAACATCAGCAAAGTAAGCCTTGCACAAAGGGGGCTTAGCTGTATAAATGCTTTTACAACATTGCGATATGTCCTCTATTGCTTTTTGTATAGAAGATATCTCTTTGCAATATTGATTCCAAATTAGCTAGTTTTTGCCTCCTCCACTATTATATTGTTTTAAGTTTCTTTCCTAGATTAATGAGGTTTGCTATTGGTGTTGCTAATTGGCCTTTTATTGACAATATCATTCTACTAATTATATTTGCACTGATCCATTGATAATAAAGTTATATGATGCTGAACTCTTGATGTTTTCTATTCTGCATAAATGGATCTAGGTTGTTAGATAATATCCCCTTTCTACTAAGCGAAATATTGTTTTTTAATACCTAGTCATTGTTGCGTTTATTTTCGTTTTGTTTAATTAAAAAAGAAATTAAAAAAAAGAACCTTTTGGAACCTGGAACCGACCCTGGAACCTGTGACAGGGTAGGTTCTAGGTTCCACGTTCTGACGGGTAGGTTCCAGGTTCCAAAAAATGAGGAACCTGTACCCGAGGGTAGGTTCCAGGTTCCAAGCGGAACCGAACCGGAACCTGGAACCGCTCACCCCTACTCCAGACCATATCAAAACCCTACCTATTTTGTCTCCATCTATAGCTCCCATTAACCACCTTATCACCCTATGCTAACGTGGGGATTCCATCACACCTCTCTCTCTCTCCATCTCTCTTTCTATATTTATACCCACTCCACATTGTTGCCATGCTCCATCTAATACCCTCTCACTCTCTTATCTTAAAACCTAATCTAAGGATCATGTCTCTGCCTTTTTTTTTCCTCTTCAAGTCACTCCATTTCTCTCTTCCCATCATTCTCATTATAATTGGTATCACTAGTCCTTCCACAAGTGCACAAGGTCCACCTTCACCTGGCTACTATCCAAGCTCAGGGTTTGGCTCCATAGGGTTTGATCAAAGGTTTAGAAACCTTTGGGGCCCTCAGCACCAAAGTCTAGACCAAGGCTCGTTGACAATCTTTCTTGACAATAGTTCGGGAAAAGTATTGAAAAAGTCATAGACCTTTTGCATTGATGCCAATTTAGTTCTAAACCTTTTTTGGTGCCAATTAAGTCATAAACCTTTTGTCTTTGTGCCAATTCAGTCCTTCTGGCTAATTTTGATCGGATTTTGGTGACGTGGACGCCGGCCGGCACACGTGGCATCGCCGCGCTGACGTGGACATTTTTAAATAATATTTTAATATTTTATTGATTTTTTTCTTCTTTTCTTTTTCTTTGTCCTTTTGAACGTTTTGGCCATTGGCTGGCCTCGCCTGGGCAAGGCCGCCGTTGCCTGCCACAGGCGAGGCCGGGCCACGGCTCGCCTGGGCGAGGGTGTCCTCGTCGAGGGGAGCCCTCGCCTAGGCGAGGAAGTCCTCGGCGAGGGTCGGTCTTATCCAGGCCAGATCCGGCGAGGGCCTATATTGCCCGATTTGGCTTGGGCGAGGCCGACCCTCGCTGGGGACTTCCTCGCCCACCGAGGACGCCCTCGCCTAGGTGAGGCGAGACACGGTTTTGCCTGTGACGGGCGACGGCGGCCTCGCCCGGGCGACGGCGGCCAACCCTGCCATGGCCGGTGGCCAGCCAAAAGGTTCAAAAGGAAAAAGAAAAAGAAAAGAAAAGAAGAAAAAATAATCATAAAAATTAATAAAAAATCTAAAATTTTTTAAAATATTATTTAAAATTGTCCACGTAAGTGCCAGCGATGCTATGCGTGCCGGCCGGCGTCCATGTCACCAAAATCAGGCCAAAATTAGTTGGAATGACTGAATTGACACAAAGGCAAAAGGTTTAGGACTAAATTGGCACCGATGCAAAAGATTTAGGACTTTTTCAACACTTTTCCCCACTAGTTCAGCTCTCCTCATCTTCATTTCTTTGCTAGTGTTTTATACCAGTGTTGTGGCATGACTTAGATATCACAAGGTTTCTGATAATTATAAGCCTGCTCCAAATTGTCGGTATACATTTATTTACGGAAAAGTGTCAGAAAAGTCCTAAACCTTTTGCTTTGATGCCAATTTAGTCCTAAACCATTTTTTGGTACCAATTCAATCTTAAACCTTTTTTTGGTGCCAATTCAGTCCTAAATCTTTTGTCTTTGTGTCAATTCAGTCATTCTGGCTAATTTTGGTCGGATAACGCTGACGTGGATGCCGGCCGGCCTACGTGGCATCGCCGGCAATGACGTGGACAACTTTTAATAATATTTTAATATTTTTTGAACTTTTTTCTTTTTTTCTTTTCTTTTTCTTTTTTTTTTCTTTCCCTTTCTTCTTCCTCCAACTGGTCGCCGGACTGACGACCGGCTGGAGGCCAGGGTCGACAATTTCCCTCACCGGCCTCTTGCGAGCCCCGTAGGCCACTGGCAAGGCTAGCCCTCCCCAGCGATGGTGAAGGCGAGCCTCGCCCAGCCCAGTGCGAGGCTCAAGCCCTCGCCGGATGGCCATGAGAGAGGCCTCGCGCTGGGCTGGGCGAGGCACGACCTCGCCGGATCTGGCGAGGTCGGGCCTCACCCATGGAGGGCGAGGCTTGACCCTCGCCAGATTCGGCGAGGGCGAGCCTCGCCCAGCCCAGCTCGAGGCTTGTCTTTGCCATCGCTGTCGCTAGCGAGGGCGGGCCTCGCTAATGGCCGGCAGGGCTCACCAGAGGCCGGCGACTGGCTGGAGGAATAAGAAAGGGAAAGAAAAAAAAAAGAAAAAGAAAGAAAAGGAAAAAAGAAAAGAAACAAATTTAAAAAAATTCGAAAATATTAAAATATTATTAAAAGTTATCAACGTCATCGTCGACGGTGCCACGTAGGCCAGCCGGCATCCACATCAGCCATCTCCGGTCAAAATTATCCGGAAGGAATGAATTGGCACAAAGACAAAAGGTTGATGACTAAATTGACACCAAAAAAAGATTTATGACTAAATTGGCACAAATGAAAAGGTTTAGGACTTTTCTGACACTTTTCCCATTTATTTATCTAAGTCTTATTTTAACAGTTTAAACTTTTAGAATTACATGTATTAGAGTATGAAATCCTGACTTCAATTCATTTCAGGTCCCTATTTACCTTCCCTATTATATGTTTCCACGCTTTAATCATAAATAGAACTCCAATCTACACATTAGGGGGAGCGTTGGAGTATATAAGTATCAAGCGATGCATTCTTTCAACTGTGTAGGTCTTAAGAGCAGTTGGACATGCCTCCCGCAATATTTTATGAAAAATTAGACCCAGTATGATAGCATATTTAGATAGTGCACCTTATTTAATGTACTTTCAATTATTTGTATACAGTGATTTAGAAACAGCTTCTTAAATTTCAGTCTATTGCTTATTATTTAGAATCTATTTGACCTTATGATGGACTAACTTTAGCTCCTTTTTTTTCTTTCTTGGAAGCGGGAAGCGGATTTAAGTCTCTTCACCAATATCAATCTGGTTATTTCAGTGCATCCATCAAGCTACAACCCGGTTATACTGCTGGTGTTGTTACCTCTTTCTACGTAAGAGCTAGCATAACACATCCCTCCTCTTTTTTTTTTTTTTTTTTTTTCAATTTTTTCTCCTAAAAATAGATATCAAAATGCATGAGGCAGCTTTTACGCAACTCAACTTTAATCCGATAAAAGGAAACAAGAAATATCAACCTGGTTATACTGCTGAAGCTTATGTGCAGCTTCTAAATCTCCTTCTTCTATCCACAAGGACAGTATTATAGTAAGAGTATTGGGAAATATACCTTAGAAAGTGTTTCTGAGTTATTAATGAATTTTTGGATACCATCAGCTCTCCAACAATGAAGCCCACCCAGGCAACCATGACGAGATCGATATCGAGTTTCTGGGAACAACACCAGACAAGGCTTACACTCTTCAGACCAACGTCTTCGTCAGAGGAAGTGGTGATGGAAACTAGGAGTGTCAAACAAACCCGCCCAAACACGACCCGACCCGACCCGAACAGACCCGAACAGGAAATTTTCGTATTGGGTCGGGTTAGGTCTTAACTTGTTTGGGTAACAATAGAAATATTTGGGTATTGTTTTGAATTATTAGGTTTGGGTACCCAAGCCCAACCCAAACAAGAAACCCTTACATCTCTCTTCCACATCTCTCTCCCTCTCTCACCTCTTCTGCGATCTCTTTTGCAATCTCTCTTCCACGTCTCTCTTCGCCGCGATGGAGCCGCCGCCGCCGCGACCCTCCGCCTCCTCGAAGCTCCGCCTCATGTGCAGCTACAGCGTAGGCGTGGCCCCACGCCCCCACTCCAAGTCCCTCTTCTACCACGGCGGCGAGACCCGCATCGTCACCGTCGACCGCGCCTCCGCGGCCGCCTCCCCCCTCTCCCCCACCCTCGCCGTCGCGCCCCCCTTCGCCCTCAAGTACCAGCTCCCCGACTCCGACCTCGACGCCCTCATCTCCCGCTGCATCGACGACGACCTCGCCGTCATGATGGACGAGCTCGACCGCCTCTCCTCGTCGGTTGAAGTGATGAGGCGCCTCCTGCCTTCATGATCTTAGATTCGATTTCTCCGATCGATCCGAAGCCGACGGGCGCCGGAAGGAGCACTGGGAGCACGAGAGCGTGGCGACGATGTGGCAAAGATTTGGGACGAACCCCTACTGCTACTTCATTGTTTGAAACACGGAACCTGACCCGAACCGACCCGACCCGACCCGTCTCCATCACTTAGCAATATTCTGTTCGGGTCTTGTTTCGGATCGAGTCAAGCAAGCATGTCAGGTGTTTCGAGTCGGGTCGGGTATCATGAAAACCCGACCCGAACCGGCCCATTGACACCCCTTGGAAACATCATCGGAAAAGAGATGAAGTTTTACCTCTGGTTCGATCCCACTAAAGATTTCCACAACTATGCCATTTTATGGACACCTAGTGAGATCATGTGGGTCTTCTTCTTTCCCTCTCCTTAACCTATTGCAATGATTTTCCAAGCGGTGGAACTAGAGCTATGTATCCAATCACATATCTGCCATTTAGCTAAACTTTAGTTAGCCAAAAAAAAAAAAAAGAAAAAAAAATCCTTTTGTTCACCTTTGTGAGGAAATAAAAGATTGGATTGAGATGAAGGGAAAATTAACTAATCAGTATCAAATCCTTTGAACGGATGTCATTCAGTTATGAATTTTTTAATTTTGCTAAATTAGTCATAAATCTTTATGCGAAAATTCAAAGCAGTCATTCCGACTAGTTTGCGCCGGATGTGGCGGTCCAAGCATCGCCAGCCATTCTATGTGGCATATCGCCGCGCCTGTGATTTTCTACGAGAATTGGACAAAAGGATTATATTGGAATTTCTTGCAAATATTTAGGATTAAATTGGTAAAATTGAAAATTTAAGACTGAATTAGAAGCTGTACAATAAGTTTAAGATTGATTGGACAATTATCCCTTGGGATGAACGATCCCCATGAACACAAAGACATGGAAACATTTCAATTTGAATATAGCTTGCATTTGAAAAACTGGATCTGGTGAATCTCAAATAAGATCCATTTACCATGAATCAAATGTATTATGTGCATACATTTTAAAATTTTACGAGTGATGAAAAAGTTGCATCATGAGTTGTATTCTTAGAATAAATCCATTATAGAAGGTTCATAAAGTTAAATAATTTATAGTAATAGGGTTGGATTGTAATGATCATTTCAAACGTGTCCATTGCTTCAGTGCTTCGGAACATATCCATGAACCCAATAATGAGTTCTGCCAGTGCGAGGCCCCTTCATACTTTTGCAATTACGACCTCACGATCACGCGGGCCTAGCGCACGAACGTGCACTAATCTAAAGGCCCTTAGAAGACCTGTCAGCTTTACTTTGATGGAGAAATTTGGACCATTTTATGGTCAACCAATTGGAGAGTATGCTCATGATTGAAAAAATAAAATAAAATTGGAGAGTATGCCTTTTGGTTCCAAAGACGCTGTGATCCAAAGGAATTGAAAAAAAAGAAACATTCGAAATTCTTAAAAAAGAAAAATAAATTCATAAAAAAAAGAGAAAATTCTCGATGAATTTTAAAGAGGACTCCTGTTTATGTGGATTCTGTTGTTGGATCGATTGTGTCTAAAATCTTATTCAAGATACAAAAAAGAAATGCGCAAATGCACTAAGAAGGAATATTACAAGTCATATGTTAGGTTAAGAGGAGCCTTCAAATAAAACGAGTGAAACGTAAAAAGATATCTTAACAGCATCTGAATGTCAACAGGGCCAATTACCAAAAAAATCCTAAACCTATTACACTTGTACCAATTCAGTCCTAAATTTTTCAATTGTGCTAATTGAGTCCTAAACTTTTTTACATTTTGCTAATTGAGTCAATCCTGCTAATTTTTGCTAGAAATCGTTAACGTGGATGACGGCCGTCCTACGTTGCACGGCCGGAGCTGACACGGACATTTTAAAATAATATTTTGATAAATTTTGAAACTTCTAATTTTTTTTAGTTTTTTTCTTTTCTTTTTCTTTTTACTTTTTTTTGGACTGAGGGCCGACAGGGGTTGCTGGCGACCCTCGCTGACACTAGGCGAGGGCATCGCGGCCCCGGTGAGGGCCTGGGCGAGGGCCGTGACGCCCTCGTTAGCCAAAGCGAGAGCGCACAGCCCCTAGCCTAGATGGCGAGGGCCGCGACACCCCAGATCGGGCGAGGGCTGGGACTCCCACGCCTATGGCCGGCAAGGGCATCCCGGACCTGGCTTGTGGCCAGCAAGGGTTAGCTGGCAACCCTACCAGTCCTCAATCCAAAAAAAAAAAATTAAGGTAAAGAAAAAAAAAAAGAAAAAAGTTATTAAATATATTATTAGAAACTATCCACGGAGCACCGGCCGTGCCACGTAAGAAGGCTAGCGATTTCCAATCAAAATTGGCCGGATAGACTCAATTGGCAAAATATGAAAATGTTTAAGACTTAATTGGCACAATAAAAAAATTTAGGATTAAATTGGCGCAAATGCAATAGATCTAGGACTTTTTTGGTAATTTCGCTAATATGCACACCTCTCGTGTTTTTCCTAAGCCACATAAGAAAAACACTCGATCGTGTTGAGCCAGTCAGTGGAAGTTCAATTCAACGAAACTGCAAAAGTCGTTGTCCTTATTGAAGCCCACGATGTGAAATTGACAAATTAAAAGGTTGTTGAATTTTCTTATCCAAATTCATAATCAATGGGGCATATGCCGGCTTGTGTTTAACTTTATATTGAGCTAGTCCTTTTTATCAAGAGGTTCTTGAATATTTCGTGACCTCAGGGGTTGCTGATTACTTACGCTAATACATTATAAACTTCTGCCCAGAAGATGTCCACGGAGCATAGACTAACTATTGAAGTGACAAATCAAAAAGACAAAAAATCAAAATTGTTGCGGTGCATAATCTTCTATAAATCAGCGTGAAGATAACACATCAAGTAGAGTATCAACGAATTGATTATTTGGAGATCTTTTCTGATTTGCTCGTGAATACTCTACTTGCTGTCTTATTTTTCATGCTGATTTGTAGAAGATTATGAACTACAACCATTCTGATTTTTTGCTTTTTGATTTGTTACTTCAATACTTTCAATAAAAAAAAGTTATACCACTATTGTTTACTTTCAAATATAGCAGACTTTTCTTTGACCGAATAAACTTAATTGACTTGATTTTGTAGTTGAATTAAGAAGTCCAGAGCATATTAACGGTGTTACATCAAGTAGGTTTCATATAAGACTCATATGATCTAACGATTGAGATCAAGTGACTTCACATGTAATAGATGTATGTCCAAATATTTCAGGAATAAGTGCTCACATCACTTCAAATTGTGGCCCATGACGTTAGATGCCTATAAATGGGCAAAAGTACACTAGAAGTGCCATAACTTGTGTACGGCGATCACTTTGGTGCCATAACTTTTTTTCGGATCACTTTGGTGGCAACTTTTTTGAAAATCGATCACTTTATTGCCAATGCTGACGTGGCTTGCCGGAAATCCGATGTGGCGCTGACACGGCTCGCCGGAGAGGTCCAGTCAGCATTAAAAACCAAAAACGACACCGTTTAGCCCACTTACGTGTACTTTTTAAAAAAAAAAATTAAATTATATTAAAAAAAAAAAACGCTTGCAGCAGCGGCGAGGAAGCCCTCGCCGCTGCTGCCGCCAACCCACCACCGTCGGGAAGGCCCGGCGGTGGTGGGCGCAGTGGTCGGCGAGGGTCGCCGGCCCCTGGCCGGGGCCCGGCGAACCTCGCTGAGACCCAGCGAGGGCCGGATCCGGCGAAGCGAGACCTCGCCGTCGCGACCTAGGCGACGGCGAGGTCTCGCCGCCTTTGGCTGGGCGGCGAGGCCAACCTCGCCGTCGCACGGGTCGTGACGGCGGCGCGGCCTCGCCTCGCCGGGCGAGGCGAGACCTCGCCGTCACGACCCGGGCAACGGCGAGGTTTGGCCTCGCCTTCGTCCCGGCGAGGCGAGACCTCGCCGTCGCGACCCGGGCGACGGCGAGGTCGGCCTCGCCTTTGCTAGGCGAGGCGAGGCCGACCTCGCCGTCGCCGGGTCGCGACGGTGAGGTGCGGCCTCGCCTCGCTCGGGCGAGGCGAGGCCGGACCTCGCCGTCGCGGGTCGCAACGGCGAGGTCTCGCCTCGCCGGATCCGACCCTCGGCCGGGCTCGGTGAGGGTCGCCGGATCCGGCCCTCCCGGGCTCGGCGAGGGTCGCCGGGCCCGGCCGAGGGCCGGCGACCCTCGCCGACCACTGCGCCCACCACCGCCGGCGGTGGTGGGTTGGCGGCAGCAGCGGCGAGGGCTCCCTCGCCGCTGCTGCAACTTTTTTTTAAAAAAAAAAAATTAAAAAATAAGAAAAAAAGCCATGTAATTTCCACCGTGTACAAGTCAGACCAATTTTTTTTAAAATATAAATGCCAGGTCAGCTTTTTGGCCGGAGTCACTAAAGTGATCGATTTTCCTCCGACTTGGCACCAAAGTGATCCGAAAAAAAGTTATGGCATCAAAGTGATCGCCATACACAAGTTATGGTACTTCTAGTGTACTTTTGCCCCTATAAATGCTTGTGAGGGTGTCCCGTTTCTCAACCCTCCGCCTTTGGATTAGTCACTTCATTTTCCAGCCAAGTTTGGACTTCTTCATAAACACACTTCTTGTACACGCTGCATACCATGACTTTTCCTCGTCTCTCTTTCATCATCTCCTTCATCTTATCCACAGCTTCGATTTCTGGACAGAAACTCTACACTCCGACGCTGAGCCTACGATGCGAAGACGTCCTCCGACACCCGGAACGTGCGGTTACGGCATCCATAACTGACGATTTCAAAACTTTCTTCTTCAACCAAACACTCGATCATTTCAACTACAGACCCGAGAGCTACACCACCTTCAAACAGAGATACTTGATCAACTCCAACTATTGGGGTGGCGCAAATTCTAATGCGCCGATCTTCGTTTACCTCGGCGCTGAATCGCCCATCGACGGAGCCCCGGTTGTGATCGGGTTTCTGACCGATAATGCAGCTCAATTCAAGGCTTTATTAGTTTATATTGAGGTAAGACATTTGAATTCTACCATTTCCTTCTCAGCCCACGCATGAATGTTCTTTTTGTCTAATTTAAGCTTCTAACTACGTAATTAAATTCTTCTTTTCCTTGTGGAATTTTTCTTGACAGCATCGGTATTATGGTGAGTCAATTCCACTTGGGATGAGCTTCCAAGAAGCTCTCAATGATACAAATATTCGCGGGTATTTTAGCTCGGCCCAAGCTTTGGCCGATTATGCTGCCATTATCATGCACGTGAAGCAGAAATTAAAAGCCAGAGATTCTCCAGTTATTGTGGTGGGAGGATCATATGGAGGAAGTAAGTGCAATGTGTATAATATTCTATCCATATTTGTGTATGGTAGAAAGAAATAATCGAAAAAAGGGTCCACCAGAAGTATGACGGGTTCTGATATCAGTTCTCTGTTGACTATGTAAAATAACCAATGATAAGTAAAAATGAGGAGTTGTTGTTGTCATATATTTTCAACAAAAATACTAATTCCTTTTTTTACTTGAGAAAGATATATTATATCGTTGTATTAAGTTGTTGAATTTTAATAGCTAATGCGAATTTCAGAGCTTGCTTCGTGGTTCCGGCTAAAATATCAACGCGTGACCCTCGGAGCTCTGGCCGCATCAGCTCCAATACTGTATTTCGACGATATTACCCCGCAGGATGCATATCATTCGGTGGTCACCAAGGATTTTAAGGTATTTACACCCGTAATTTCTCTTCTTCTCTTTTGTTCTAATAATGGAGTGTGCGGCACTTTTCGAGCATCCAAAGAATATCCATTAATTGACGCAATATCCCTATCTTCCCATTTTACGCACACAAGGTAAGTACATGAGTACACATATTCTTGCTCCTAGGGGATGGCATCAATAGAATTCAAAGGTATAGTTATGTGTAACCATAGCTTAAGTGAGAAATACATACAAACTTAGTGCTTGAATAATCTTTAGAATCTTAATATCTATTCTTTGTTTTTCACAATTTGTCTTGAACCATAGTCTTTTTGCACAGGAAGCTAGCGAGACTTGCTCCCAAACTATAGGAGACTCATGGTAAGAGATTGATAGAGTTATTAACGAGCCTAATGGCCTTTCAAACTTAAGCAAGATGTTCAAGACTTGCAAGTATGTGATCTGATCTGTCATACCCGAGTGCTATAGAGTATTCCCCTTCCAATTTCTCAATTTAAGGGAGTTGAATTGACTCAATTCACCTTCTGAGATCAGGAACCTAATCCGCGCTCACTCTTCAGTTCGGGGTGAAGTTTCATGATCTTCGAGGCTCAATCGAGTCTTCAAGAAAGCGCTTAAATGTTAATATATTAAGGAGACAAAATCATTCATAGAATGACTACTGCTTCTTTTTGTGTGTGTACTGTGTAGGCCTTTGGAGAGTGGGGATGAACTGAAGAACTACTTGATATTGTTGTACGTGGGAGCAGCTCAATATGATGATCCTGTTGGCTGGGTTCACTCCCATGTGGAGGAAGCCCAATGTATCGCAAGCCCAAGGCTTGAGCCCATATGTCTATTCATATGGAGAAATAGGGTTTCTCACTATTATTATGTCGTGGCCGCAAAAAGAACGTTTTAGAGAGACACAGTAACAAGAGAGAAAGAGAAAGCAGAAAATCTGGGTTTGAGGATATATCTGATACTGCCGTCAGAGGTCGATTCGTGGTCCGATTGAGCTGAAATTTTGTCAGCGTGTTCGTGCCGCATTCTTCTCGAATTTGATCGGTTTGATTTTCAGTTGAAGCTCCCTACATTAGGTTTTCGTGGGTTGCACCAAAAGTGCGTTTTTGGTGAGATTTATCCTTTTATCTCTTGTGAAGTTCATGTCTATTGCCAAGAATGATGTTCTTGGTGTCTTTGCTGCTATGTACCTCTAGTATTTACTAGAGAAGAACTTTGTTCATCCAGTTTTGCTGATAGTGAAGATTTTTGGGTGGACTCCGGTCCCGTGGTTTTTGATCTCCTCACACCGAGGAGGTTTTCCACGTAAAAAAATCGTCTTGTGTTTGCGTGCTTGGTATTTATATTTCTCGATTCAGTCGTTTCCTATTAGGTTTACACAAGAGGGGGATTATTTTATTTCGCTGCGCTAATCCGAGATTGTTCGAATTGTTATTGTTCTCCCAACAAAGTGGTATCAAAGCTTTGGTTATTGCTGGATTTTTTCTGCCTTGTGTTAAACGATGGAAACGAATACGAGTAGAATGGTTACATTGAATGGTTCGAATTATCACATGTGGAAAGGAAAGATGGAAGACCTTTTGTACGTGAAAGATTATTATTTACCCGTGTTTGCTGACGAGAAACCCGAGAATAAAACTGATGCTGAATGGGTTATATTTCATCGTCAAGTATGTGGTTACATTAGGCGGTGGGTGGATGATAATGTTTTGAATCATATCATTGAGGAAACGCATGCACACAGTTTATGGAATAAGCTCAAACAATCGTATGCTCGAAAGACTGGGAATAACAAGTTATTTCTTATAAAACAGATGATGGCTTTGAGATATCAAGATGGTACTCGTTTGACTGATCATTTAAATTCTTTTCAAGGAATTATAAATCAACTGGCTGCGATGGGTATCAAGTTTGATGATGAAATACAAACGTTATGGTTGCTTGGTACTTTGCCGGACTCGTGGGAGACGTTTCGAACGTCTTTGTCTAATTCAGCCCCGGATGGTACGATTACCATGGATTTGGCCAAGAGTAGTATTTTAAATGAAGAGATGAGAAGAAAGACACAGGGATCCTCCTCTTCACATTGGTTGTTGAAAAAAGGGGAAGAAGTGAGACTCGAGGTCCGAGAAATAGAGATAAGAGCAGAGATAAAAGCAAAGGCAAATACAATAAATTTGCAAATGTTGAGTGCCATTATTGCCATCAGAAGGGACATATTCAGAGGTTTTGTCGTCAGATGAAAAGAGAGAAACATAAAGAGAAAAGTAAAGAGAAGAAAAGTGATAATGATAGCGATAACAATCATGTTGCTGCAGTTGCGGAAGCCTTTCTCATTGTCTTTGATGGTGATGCAGTGAATTTTGTATGTCATGAGACCAGTTAGGTAATTGATAGTGGTGCATCTATTCATGCTACATCTCGTAGGGATTTCTTTACATCTTACAAGTCAGGTGACTTTGGATCCGTGAAGATGGAAAAACAATGGACTTGCTAAAGTTATAGGCATTGGTGATGTGTGCCTTGAAACTAACAATGGCACGAGGTTAGTATTGAATAATGTTAAACATATACCTGACATTCGTTTGAATTTGATTTCCATAGGTAAGTTGGATGATGAGGGGTATTGCAACACTTTCAGTGATGGTCGATGGAAGCTCACTAAAGGTTCTATGATTGTGGCTAGAGGTAAAAAATGTTTTTCGTTGTACATTATGCAGGCAAAGTTGTCCACAAACAAAATTAATGCAGTAGATAACGGGGAAACAGTTGAGTTATGGCACAAGAGGCTCAGTCACATTAGCGAGAAGGGTTTGTCAATATTGACACAGAAGAAGCTCCTTTCAGGAGTGAAAAGTTCAGCACTGAAGAAGTGTGCTCACTGTTTAGCAGGAAAGCAGAATAGAGTTACATTCAAAAGCTCCCATTCTTCAAGAAAGTCAGGTATTCTTGATTTAGTGCATTCTGATGTTTGCAGTCCTATGAAGACAAAATCACTTGGTGGCTCTCTTTATTTTATTACTTTCATAGACGACTATTCAAGGAAAATCTGGGTTTATACCTTGAAAACTAAAGATCAAGTATTAGATTCTTTTAAACAGTTTCAGGCTTCAGTTGAAAGACATACTGGAAAGAAGTTGAAATGCATCGGAACTGATAACGGGGGAGAGTATACTGGACCTTTTGATGAATATTGCAAGCAACAGGGTATATCAAAAGACACCTCCCAAGACACCTTAGTTAAATGGCTTAGCTGAGAGGATGAACATGACACTGGTTGAAAGGTAAGATGTTTACTCTCACAAGCAAAGCTACCGAGATCTTTCTGGGGTGAGGCTTTGAGTACAGTTGCACTTGTATTAAATCTTACTCCATGTGTTCCTTTAGAGTTTGATGTTCCTGATAGAGTTTGGACAGGCAAAGATGTTTCTTATGATTATTTGCGTGTCTTTGGATGCAAGGCATTTGTGCATATTCCCAAAGATGAGAGGTCTAAACTTGATGTGAAAACACGACAATGCATATTTATTGGCTATGGACAGGATCTGTTTGGCTACAAGTTCTATGATCCAATTGAGAAGAAAATTATAAGAAGCAGAGATGTTGTGTTTTAGAAGATCAAATAATACAGGATATTGAGAAATCGGAGATGATTTCAGTGCCACAGGTTAGTGATGACTTGATTGACTTGGATCTAGTTCCTCATACACATATTCCTGCACAGGTTGATGAGGAGCAACGGGAAGTGAATGTTCCAGATAATGCACATATTCCTGAACATGTTAAGACAGATGATACCGTTCCTGAATCAGAGACTCCATTAAATACTCCACTAGATATTCCAATTCGGAGATCCGTCAGAGACCGACGTCCTTCCACCAGATATTCTGCAGATGAGTATGTATTATTGATTGACGCAGGTGAACCAGAGTGCTATGTAGAAGCAATAGAAGATGAGTGCAAAAGCAAATGGTTTGACGCAATGTAGGATGAAATGTAGTCACTTTATGATAATCATACTTTTGAGCTGGTGAAGTTGCCTAAAGGTAAAAGAGCTTTGAAGAACAAGTGGGTATACAGGTTGAAACAAGATGGACACACTTTACAACCACGATACAAAGCTAGATTGGTTGTTAAGGGATTCGTTCAGAGAAAGGGTATTGACTTTGATGATATATTTTCTCCGGTGGTAAAAATGTCTTCTATTCGTGTAGTTCTAGGCTTAGCAACTAGCCTAGACTTGGAAGTTGAGCAGATGGATGTCAAAACGGCCTTCCTACATGGTGACTTGGAGGAAGAGATATACATGGAACAACCAGAAGGTTTCAAAGTGAAAGGAAAAGAGGATTATGTGTGCAAACTGAAGAAGAGTCTCTATGGCCTAAAGCAAGCACCGAGACAGTGGTACAAAAAGTTTACCTCAGTTATGACAGAGCAGGGCTATAAGAAGACTTCCTCGGATAACTGTGTGTTTGTCCAAAAATTTTCTGATGATGACTTTATTATTCTCTTGCTTTATGTTGATGATATGTTAATTGTTGGCAGGAATGCTTCACGAATTGAGTTATTGAAGAAACAATTAAGTAAGTCTTTTGCCATGAAAGACTTGGGCCCAGCGAAGCAGATTCTTGGCATTAGAATTACTCGGGACAAAAATGCTAAGAAGTTGTTCTTGTCGCAAGAGAAGTACATTGAGAAGATTCTTCAAAAATTTCACATGGACAAGGCTAAAGTGGTTAGCACTCCTCTTGCTGCCCACTTTAAGTTGAATAAAAAGCAAAGTCCCACGACTGATAAAGAGAAGAAAGACATGGAAAGTGTTCCATATGCCTCGGCTGTGGGAAGCTTAATATATGCGATGGTATGTACACGTCCAAACTTGGCGCGTGCAGTTGGCGTTGTTAGTCGTTATTTATCAAATCCAGGTAGAGAGCATTGGAATGCAGTGAAGTAGATCATGAGGTATCTTCGGGGAACTTCCAGTTTGAAACTCAGTTTCGGGACCGGGAAACTTGAGTTGGTTGGATACACAGATTCCAACTTGGTTGGAGATATTGATACCCGTAAATCTACTTCTCGTTATTTGATTTCCTTTGCAGGAGGGGCTGTCATGGAAATCAAGGTTGCAGAAGTGTGTTGTGTTTTCTACAACAGAAGCTGAATTTATTGCGGCGACTGAAGCTAGTAAAGAGTTGCTATGGCTGATGAAGTTCTTGGAAGAACTTGGGTCTAAGCAAAAGAGGTATGAGTTATTTTGTGACAACCAAAGTGCGATTCATCTTGGTAAGAATTCATCTTTTCATTCTAGATCGAAACACATTGATGTTAGATATCATTGGATAAGGGACATTCTAGATGAGAAGTTGTTGAAACTTGAGAAAATCCATACGGACCATAATGGTTCTGATATGATGACGAAGACTCTATCAAGGGACAAGCTTGAATCCCTCCACATCGTCGTGAGGGGGAGATTTGTTGGCTGGGTTCACTCCCGTGTGGAGGAAGCCCAATGTATCGCAAGCCCAAGGCTTGAGCCTATATGTCTATTCATATTGAGAAATAGGGTTTCTCACTATTATTATGTCGTGGCCGCAAAAAGAACGTTTTAGAGAGACATAGTAACAAGAGAGAAAGAGAGAGCATAAAATCTGGGTTTGAGGATATATCTGATACTGCCGTCGGAGGTCGATTCGTGGTCCGATTGAGCTGAAATTTTGTCAGCGTGTTCGTGCCGCATTCTTCTCGAATATGATCGGTTTGATTTTCAGTTGAAGCTCCCTACATTAGGTTTTTGTGGGTTGCACCAAAAGTGCGTTTTTGGTGAGATTTATCCTTTTATCTCTTGTGAAGTTCATGTCTATTGCCAAGAATGATGTTCTTGGTGTCTTTGCTACTATGTACCTCTAGTATTTACTAGAGAAGAACTTTGTTCACCCAGTTTTGCTGATAGTGAAGATTTTTGGGTGGACTCCGGTCCCGTGGTTTTTATCTCCTCACACCGAGGAGGTTTTCCACGTAAAAAAATCGTCTTGTGTTTGCGTGCTTGGTATTTATATTTCTTGATTCAGTTGTTTCCTATTAGGTTTACACAAGAGGGGGATTATTTTATTTCGCTGCGCTAATCTAATATTGTTCGAATTGTTATTGTTCTCCCAACAGATCCACCAAGATATCCGGTGACAGTGATATGCAAGGGCATTGATGGAGCAAATACCACCGAGAATGGCATTCATGGCAAGATATTTGCAGGCATTGTGGCCTACCA